TTCCCCTTTCTTTAAGTAGTTTGTGGTTCATTGTCCTATTAATAAATACACATCAGCCATAAAATAGTACAATGGCAAATTTGCATAGGCCTATATTAAACATCTAACTTTTATTAACAAAATGAATAAGACGGATATAGCCTACTTGCGTTGACGGCTAACCCAAATAAATAAGGTATTTTACCTCTTTTAAAACAAATGCTTAGTTTGTGGTTCATTGTTTTATTTATTTTTATATATTTTTTTTTAATGAAAACACTTTCTCAAACTCACTCTCGTCATGTGACCAAACTCCGACTGGATTTGTCTGAAAAAAGAAAGTCATATACACCTAGGATGACTTGAGGGTGAGTAATTTATAGGCTAATTTAAATTTTTGGGTGAACTAACCCTTTAATTGTACCACATATATAGTGTACATGAACTGAGCTGCTCTGATTTTTCCACCAAATTCAGGCTCAAAAGACTGAGCTCAAAAGACTGTGTGTCTGTCTTTGCCCCTGGAGACTGTGGCTGCAAGTGTAAAACCACTTCAGTCTTTGTAGTTGGGGCTGAGGTCACCAGACCAACATTGACCTTTGCAGTCCTATTTCAGTCATGGGCATTTGTCACTCTGTGGAGGCCGATGTGTGGTAATAGATTATTGACCATCGCACAAGTCTCATCTCGCCATGCGTCCAGAGCCCCGCTGTTTTCTTTATCACCAGAACGGAAGCCTGCAGCCATGAAGAGAAGCACCTAATCCACATTTTACACTTCAAATGCCGAATTACACACATAATGTAGCTATAACATACAGAAGACTCTGTTGAAACATGGACATCATGTTTAGTTATCAGGTAATGCTTCTTTTAGCATCACTGGACACATCTACTTGCTGCTTTTGACAAATTTATCCTCGCTTTCTCATTCTGGCTCTGGATTTTTTTATGTAAATCCTAGTAAAAATGTAATACATTTAAATATATATTTATTTCATACTAAGTATAGTTAAAATCTATTAACATATTTACTGACATATCGCTCAAGACTTACTGATATAAAAATTGTAATTAAACTTTATTTGGAGTACCATTTGTGCACAATGCACATTTCTTAATATTAAGCCTAAAATGTGTTTTAATGTCACTATTGATAAGGATTGTAAGGTCTTTGAATGGTATCAGTCTTTAAATGCAAACTATTTAAAGTGAACCTAACGTATACTTACAATATTTCGACAATTAAGCACATTTTAGCACAATTAAATATAATTAATTTCAATTCAATGGTTTTAAGATGGTTTAGACCCTATCTGTCCGATTGCTACCACTTTGTTTATTTAAACGGGGAGTCATCTCAATTATCACCAGTAAAGTATGGAGTGCCACAAGGATCTGTCCTAGGTCCTCTGCTATTTTCAATATACATGTTACCCCTTGGTAATATTATTAGAAAATACAGAATTAGTTTCCATTGTTATGCTGATAATACTCAACTATATATCTCAACAAGACCAGATGAAATTTCTAAATTATCTAAGCTACTTCCGTATATTTTTAGTTGGACTTAGTTGGACACAATTAAAATGCATTAAGTACAAAACGAATTGTTCCAATTTATCAGACTTTAAGTAAACCAGTATAATTGCAGGGTATTTTTATTAAGTACATAAATATGTAAATGCATTTGTAGTACACTTAGCATGAAATAAATGTGTTTCAAATACATTTAGTATAATTATTTTTCACTAGGAAACACAGCAAACCAGTACTGGATGTTATTAAAAAAAATAACATCCAGTTTTATTTTGTAAATAAAGTAGGATTAGGTTACTAATTATGCTCTTTGAATAGCAAATACATTATTTATTGTTTGAGATCATTTTCTAAAACCTACAGTACTTCGACCTTTATCAGACAGAAAACACCAAATCATCATTCAGGATGTACTGAACAAAGTCATTAATTTATTAAAATAATATTTACGCAATTTTTATCTTTACGTAATCTACTAAACTTTTCAAAACATCCACTCTCTTCTAGGAATGCATAAATATGGAAATTTTAGCTAATACCGATTTTATATTTTATATTATCCATATATTGGCCTATATTAAATTATCAATCTACTATTTGCAAGATAGATTACATTTGGATTATGTCTATCCAAAGAATAATATAACAAAGAATTCACAATATTAACTTCTTATTATTGAATTGTTGTAAATAAATATCACATTTGCAACTGGTCAGTGTTCAAAAAATGCTGGGAAATCACTTCATGTAGCCTTACAAGAGTGATAGCTGATAAACTGTCTGAAAAAAAGAAAGTCACGTTTTAGAGAAGAAAAATAATCACCCACTGACTTTCAAAGCTGCTACATAGTAACTACTTTCTACTTCGAGGACCTTGATAGAAATGTAGTGGAGTGAAAAGTACAATATTTGTCTTTCAAATGTAGTGAAGTTAAAGTCATAAGTTCCCAGAAAAAATAATACTCAAGTAAAGTACAGATACTCAAAAAGTGTACTTAAGTACAATACTCAAGTAAATCTACTTAGTTACTGTCCACCTCTGGTACTGGGTAACTACTAGGTAACTACTTGGGTTAAGGTTAGGTTAGGGATAGGTTCAGGGTTAGTACTTAGTTACTGCAATTATTATAATAAGTACATATATGCGGAACAGGTCTGTAAAATAAAGTACTACCACAGAATGTATGCTAACTATTGTCAACCATTGTGATTTGTTGGACAAGCAACATTGCTATCTGCCAAATATTTCGATGAGTTGAGTAGTGTTTATTGAACAGCACTGGAGGGGACACAAGCAATTGTGTGAGTGTGGATTTGTTTTAGAGAAGATGAGGCAGTGGGTGACGCTTGGGTGGCTGTGAATTAGAATTAGTGGCATAAATTGACTGGTATAAGAGCACTGGAATGATGTTCTACCTGTCACTGAGCCTTAAGGATTTCCCTTCAACAAGAATCTACCACAGCTCCTCCTAAGTCAACTAGTCAATGGTGGAAACGTCCCCACTAAAAATGACAATTCTGTCATCATTTACTCACCCTCATGTTGTTACAAACCTGTGAGACTTTCTCTTTTACGGATATGAAAGAAGAAGAATGTTGGTAACCAAACAGTTTTGGTGCCCACCGACTTCCACTGTATGGCCCAAAAAAAATTCTCAAAATATCTTCTTTTATGTTTGACAGAAGAAATTAGGTCATACGGTTTTGGAACAACATGAGGGCAATTAACGATAACAGAATTTTAATTTTTTTGGTGAACAGCCATAGGTAGACACATTCTAGCTCAGTTAAAGCACAATAATTAGAAATTATAATAAAGGCTGTACAATAGTTCTGTTTGTTAATATTAGTTAATAGCTAACATGAAATAAACAATACAGCATTTACTAATATCATGTTAATTTCTGCATATACCAGTACATTTTTGGCATTTCAAAGTGTAAAAATTTACTGAAGTCAATGTTATTTTATCAAATATACTACTGATAATTCATTTCTTTCATAATACCTTAACTAAGAACAATGAATGCTTGAAATAAAAAAAAAAGTTAATGACGTTGCCTAATACATTAAATCATTAATAATCTAACCTTATTGTAAATACTTACTGAAATTATTTAGCATTATTTAAATTATCTCTAAAACAATGATTTTCAGAGATACAGAGATACAGCTACTACTAACAAACCTCAACAGAATGAGTAAGGAACTGTTTCATATAGGATGTGTTCTGACAGAATAAAAGAATAAAGCTCAAAATATAACTACATTTAACTTGACATGGTGTCTTATAAAAAAAATTGGGCACTTGTCACACAAGATGCTGAACATAGACACAAGCAACAGTAAAACAACAGTAAAACACGCAACAGTAAAACATGAATTAAGTTGAATCAAATTGATTGTGAAAGCCGTTTCAACAAACTGACTAAGGAAGTCATGTGTTGCCATGACTTTTTGATAATATTATTACCTGTAACATGTCTGTGCCGTATCCAAATCAAGAATTAATGACCATTTCTACAGCCATTGCAAAGATACAGCAGAGAACGAGTGAGAGCGACTATTTACCTCAGCAGCAGCCAATCTCGCATTCTCGCATCTGCAGCGATTATTTTGATCTTTAATGTTAGATATTTCCTATTCTTGAAAAAAATTTATGCTTAAGGTTGATTCAGTATTACTCTTAATGAAAAAAAAATCCCACACACAACATCAGCAATACTACAATGACAAAGTAATTATATTAAACATAAAATTTGTATTAATAGAACTAATAAGACATTCGCGTTGCAACAAATAAATAAAAGGTTTTTGGAATTTTCCCCTTACTTCAAACGAATGCTTAGTTTGTGGCTCATTATTATTATTAATAATAATAAAAATAGGCTATACAATAAAAAAGTACAATGACAAATTCACTTATTATACTTTGAACTTTTATTAACAATATGAATAAGGAAAATATGTTTTACCCGCATTGTAACACAAATAAACAGTCTTTGGATTTCCCCTTTCTTTAAGTAGTTTGTGGTTCATTGTCCTATTAATAAATACACATCAGCCATAAAATAGTACAATGGCAAATTTGCATAGGCCTATATTAAACATCTAACTTTTATTAACAAAATGAATAAGACGGATATAGCCTACTTGCGTTGACGGCTAACCCAAATAAATAAGGTATTTTACCTCTTTTAAAACAAATGCTTAGTTTGTGGTTCATTGTTTTATTTATTTTTATATATATTTTTTTTAATGAAAACACTTTCTCAAACTCACTCTCGTCATGTGACCAAACTCCGACTGGATTTGTCTGAAAAAAGAAAGTCATATACACCTAGGATGACTTGAGGGTGAGTAATTTATAGGCTAATTTAAATTTTTGGGTGAACTAACCCTTTAATTGTACCACATATATAGTGTACATGAACTGAGCTGCTCTGATTTTTCCACCAAATTCAGGCTCAAAAGACTGAGCTCAAAAGACTGTGTGTCTGTCTTTGCCCCTGGAGACTGTGGCTGCAAGTGTAAAACCACTTCAGTCTTTGTAGTTGGGGCTGAGGTCACCAGACCAACATTGACCTTTGCAGTCCTATTTCAGTCATGGGCATTTGTCACTCTGTGGAGGCCGATGTGTGGTAATAGATTATTGACCATCGCACAAGTCTCATCTCGCCATGCGTCCAGAGCCCCGCTGTTTTCTTTATCACCAGAACGGAAGCCTGCAGCCATGAAGAGAAGCACCTAATCCACATTTTACACTTCAAATGCCGAATTACACACATAATGTAGCTATAACATACAGAAGACTCTGTTGAAACATGGACATCATGTTTAGTTATCAGGTAATGCTTCTTTTAGCATCACTGGACACATCTACTTGCTGCTTTTGACAAATTTATCCTCGCTTTCTCATTCTGGCTCTGGATTTTTTTATGTAAATCCTAGTAAAAATGTAATACATTTAAATATATATTTATTTCATACTAAGTATAGTTAAAATCTATTAACATATTTACTGACATATCGCTCAAGACTTACTGATATAAAAATTGTAATTAAACTTTATTTGGAGTACCATTTGTGCACAATGCACATTTCTTAATATTAAGCCTAAAATGTGTTTTAATGTCACTATTGATAAGGATTGTAAGGTCTTTGAATGGTATCAGTCTTTAAATGCAAACTATTTAAAGTGAACCTAAAGTATACTTACAATATTTCGACAATTAAGCACATTTTAGCACAATTAAATATAATTAATTTCAATTCAATGGTTTTAAGATGGTTTAGATCCTATCTGTCCGATTGCTACCACTTTGTTTATTTAAACGGGGAGTCATCATCCACATTTTACACTTCAAATGCCGAATTACACACATAATGTAGCTATAACATACAGAAGACTCTGTTGAAACATGGACATCATGTTTAGTTATCAGGTAATGCTTCTTTTAGCATCACTGGACACATCTACTTGCTGCTTTTGACAAATTTATCCTCGCTTTCTCATTCTGGCTCTGGATTTTTTTATGTAAATCCTAGTAAAAATGTAATACATTTAAATATATATTTATTTCATACTAAGTATAGTTAAAATCTATTAACATATTTACTGACATATCGCTCAAGACTTACTGATATAAAAATTGTAATTAAACTTTATTTGGAGTACCATTTGTGCACAATGCACATTTCTTAATATTAAGCCTAAAATGTGTTTTAATGTCACTATTGATAAGGATTGTAAGGTCTTTGAATGGTATCAGTCTTTAAATGCAAACTATTTAAAGTGAACCTAACGTATACTTACAATATTTCGACAATTAAGCACATTTTAGCACAATTAAATATAATTAATTTCAATTCAATGGTTTTAAGATGGTTTAGACCCTATCTGTCCGATTGCTACCACTTTGTTTATTTAAACGGGGAGTCATCTCAATTATCACCAGTAAAGTATGGAGTGCCACAAGGATCTGTCCTAGGTCCTCTGCTATTTTCAATATACATGTTACCCCTTGGTAATATTATTAGAAAATACAGAATTAGTTTCCATTGTTATGCTGATAATACTCAACTATATATCTCAACAAGACCAGATGAAATTTCTAAATTATCTAAGCTACTTCCGTATATTTTTAGTTGGACTTAGTTGGACACAATTAAAATGCATTAAGTACAAAACGAATTGTTCCAATTTATCAGACTTTAAGTAAACCAGTATAATTGCAGGGTATTTTTATTAAGTACATAAATATGTAAATGCATTTGTAGTACACTTAGCATGAAATAAATGTGTTTCAAATACATTTAGTATAATTATTTTTCACTAGGAAACACAGCAAACCAGTACTGGATGTTATTAAAAAAAATAACATCCAGTTTTATTTTGTAAATAAAGTAGGATTAGGTTACTAATTATGCTCTTTGAATAGCAAATACATTATTTATTGTTTGAGATCATTTTCTAAAACCTACAGTACTTCGACCTTTATCAGACAGAAAACACCAAATCATCATTCAGGATGTACTGAACAAAGTCATTAATTTATTAAAATAATATTTACGCAATTTTTATCTTTACGTAATCTACTAAACTTTTCAAAACATCCACTCTCTTCTAGGAATGCATAAATATGGAAATTTTAGCTAATACCGATTTTATATTTTATATTATCCATATATTGGCCTATATTAAATTATCAATCTACTATTTGCAAGATAGATTACATTTGGATTATGTCTATCCAAAGAATAATATAACAAAGAATTAATATTAAAGCAAAATGTCAATGTGTCATGTACAATAAAATAATCTGGTTTGGATTAAACATTATTTTGTGTTTAAAAATAGAGAAACTAGAAATATCCATCTCATTTCTCACTTTATCAACTACTGAAAAGGTCTAACTGTACACACGCACACTGACAACATGAAAGTGAGCCACCACAATCATAAAATATGCTTTTGTTGGTTGTAATGTCTGGATTTTAATTCACTTAATTGTGTATCACAGCAACAGTGCTACGAGAACAATAACTTTAACATGATTACTGAAAAACAGCAATTCTGAGTGCAAATCACTCCTCAGATTTTATATGTAAATAAATACAACAAACAGGAGAAAAAAATTAACTTACAATCTAAAAGTGAGAAACAGAGCAATGTGATTCGCTCTATGTTGTGTATTTTGTTTTTGGCGCAGTCTGGAATTTTGATGATATGATAATTCATCTCTGAGCTCCAATTTACCCCCTGCTGCTCGCTTTCTATGTTGGACCATTTTGTGAACGGTCCCCCAGAATGCTAAATGAGCGACTCGTTAAAAAAAGCCTGTCTTCCAGCTAAACCACATATTTATGGACATATTTGCTAGCTTTTTGTCAACATTAAACCTTTGGGCAAATGAAGTGTCCATATGTGTTATTTTCTGCTCAAAGAAAAGTTCTGCTCAACTTTGTCTTGGAGTTCTTTCACAATTTGGGTTTACATTGACTTTTTTGAGGCAGACGGTACAAACGATTACACACTGAAGGCTTTGACTTTGGCCTCGGCCCTCCATGAGTGATTCCCTGCATTGTAATGGGTTTGACGTGGGACCCGAGGTCTGCAATATGTCCCTCTCTAGAACACTGTATAATAACTACCCGCTGTTCTGAGTCTCCGGCCCTGTCTGTCAAACAATCTGGGGACATTTAGTGTTATTTCACCACTGCTTATTTAGCCACAGGAAGCCTATTAATGTCAGCAGGCTTCATCCTCTTTGGAAGCTATCAAAGAGAGAGCTTGTGTGCCATTGTTTTAATATCTGCGCACACTAAACACTGATAGGCTGATAACATTCTGTGCAACTCATTTTACATACATTACCCCAATGCAAAGACAGTAATATTACATATGACATCTAAATTGATTCTTAAGCACCTTCAGGTGTATTTCTGGCACTATCCCAAGCATTTCTTAGCCTTTAAGTGAACCGCATCCTCGACGGTAGTATGCAGGTAATAGAAGATTTGATTCTATTGGTTGATACAATCTGCTGGCACAGAACAAAACACTTTGACTGGTTGTGGCGGCAGTGCCAAAAGAAAACATCATAGATTATTAACCCTTTTTGTTGTCTGGCATCAGTAGCAGATGGTGCCGCACATTGGAGCGAGATAACAGCTGTCAATTTCAAGGTACTGCCTCTAGTGGAGCAATTTTTTTTTTCCTTTTTGTTGCCTCATAGGGAGCTGCAGATGATTTTTTTAAACATAATAACCAAAACCGATGCACTTCCTCACCCTGATGAATTCCCAGCCCTGAAAAACCTCAGATGTATCGCTGTATACGAGCACATGTACACAATAGATGGACCGGAGGTGGTGCACTATAGGGAAAAGCCGGTAGTGGCTGCCCTAGTTGTCTTGAACGCGCATAAGCCACGACTGTTCCCTCGAGTCACTGACTCCTTTTAAATTAACTGAATCCTCCAAATAAATTCCTCATTGTGGGCTCTCAAAGCACAGGAAAGTTGCATTTCACCCAAGTGGCGGCTTGGGAATTGTCCTTCTAACCCACTCCCGTTCTTCTGATTTACATGAGAAAGGCAAGGGCTCGGAGAACTGGCCCCAGAGCTGAACCACTCCTCATTTATTCATTTCTTTACCAACATCACTCGCTTTCCATCAGGGCCTGCTGAGGAAATCATAGTAGCAATTTAGATTTGGTTTAACATACTCCTGGGGAAAGAGGACAGGGAATTGCCTCTATGTAGCATGTCTGCTTTCCCGCGCCAAACGCGATCGGTATCAAGGCAAGAGATCAGAGTGGCATTCAGCCTCGGGTAAACACAGAAAAACTGCACTTTCACTGGTTTAGTGCTAGATTAAACTCTTTAAAATACCTCAATATCCACATAATGACTTTAAAACCGAGTGACAACGTAGTTAGGCACATTGGCTAATAGCCGATCATACACGCTACGTGGCTCAATTGCACACCTGGTTTGAGAGCACTTCGACAAACCATAGTCAATTCTAATACAAGCTCCTGAAGCAGATATTCAATCACAATGGCAAAGTTTCATGATCAAATGGAATGCATCAATTCAGCACTTGAAGGAAATCAATTTGGAATTGACCTCAGCTCTCTCATCATCCAGGGTGATATGCCTCTTTATATGCCTGTCTGCTTTTGCACTCATCAGCACAGCTCAGTACAAGAGTCAGGCTGGTTTCAAAATCAAGCAGAATCAGTCTGGGTCACGCAATGGCTCTTTTACAAAACCCAGTGAACTGCCCCGCTATCGCCTGCCTACATAGGGAGCTGCCTTTTAAAACAGCATACTAACTGAAATGGAACCTCAAAAACGATTTGGAATACTCTACATACGCACATGCACACCATAAAATAGCATTACGTGCATAGGAGACGCCCCTGTTGAAAAAAACTGCATATGCTGTTTGGTATGTATCGAAGCATGAGATGCTTCATTGCAGTTGCCTT